AATCTAACAATAGAAGTAGCCTTTTCGTTGAGAGTGGTGGTGAGTTTGTAGTTCAACGCCACACCGAGCAATATTCCAGCTATGTGGCGGTGGTCTGTCAATAATCGAGTCTGGACCAGACAGTCCAGTGATCAATCGATGTACGCAATTGGGATACGATGACATGTGTCAGAACCACCCCAACCGCCTCTGTGGTGTAGTGGTTAAAGCGTCCACCCGGAGAGCGGAAGGTCGCGGGTTCGATCCCCGGCCGACCCAGAAATGGGCTTCAGAAACGTGCCCATATGGTCGAACTTGTTCGGCGTCACTGCCTGACTGAGTTCGGCATTACGGCGGTAGCAATAAGGACTATATCGGCTCGGAGTCAGTATAATGCGTCATGAGTGGGGATTTTCGGCGTGACTGACTGACTGACTGAGTTTAGTTTTACGCCGCTTTTAGCAATATTCCAGCAATATCACGGCGGGGGACACCAGAAATGGGCTTCACACATTGTGCCCATGTGGGGAATCGAACCCGGGTCTTCGGCGTGACGAGTCAACGCTTTAACCACTAGGCTACCCCACCGACCCTTATGCTTAACTGCGGCATGGCATTTCAGTGAGCTAGCACTATAAACCAATTAAGTTTGAGCATGTACAAGCAGCCACACATACACACGCATGCACGTCGTCATATGAGCAAAACATTCTCAAGTACGACGTTAAACCCCATTTCACCTCACCTCACGTCACCATCCACACAACAACACTGAGTAAAATATACGGCGAGCTTGCTACTCAGCCAGATAGTGATGTGTGCCTGTCGTTCGTGTTTACGCATAACCAAACTACTATAGATAATCGTGTGATCTGATTAGAATGGCGACATGGTTGTTATTGTGACCTTTAGCTGCTCTGTCTTCCTGGAATTATATAATACAATTTGACGAATAGATTAATGATAACGGTGTTTATGGGTAACGGTCAGTACGGATTAGATTTCACTATCTTTTAGCTTGGTGACATCAGAACATTGTTCTTGTTTACTATGGACGAACGACACCTCGCTTTTGATCAGGCTGGTGATACATTTCAATATCAAGAAGACAATTGTCCTTGATCGTTTTGTTACACGTGTGAGTCGAAATCAATCACTTGTTAATAATAAGTGAGTGAGTTTAGTGTTATGCCGCACTCAGCAATATTCCAGCTATATGGCGGCGGTCTGTAGATAATCGAGTCTGGACCAGACAATCCAGTGATCAACATCATGAGCATCGATCTGCGCAATTGGGAACCGATGACATGTGTCAACCAAGTCAGCGAGCCTGACCACCCGATCCCGTTAGTCGCCTCTTACGACACGCATAGTCGCCTTTTATGGCAAGCATGGGTTGCTGAAGACCTATTCTACCCCGGATTTTACAGGTCACCACATGACATGTATACATGACACATTTTATAGACAACAACGTCTTTATATTTGCGGTCTATAAATAATCGAGTCCAGTGATCAACATCATGAGCATCCATCTACGCAGCTAGGATAGGAAGACATGTATCAACCAAGTCAGCGAGCCTGACCACCGATCCCGTTAGTCGCCTCTTAGGACAAGCATGGGGGATGTAGAGCAATTCTAACCCGGATCTTCACGGATCTCTTGATTACGGAAAGGGATTGTAAACATTTATTGAAGTCTACAGGCATAAACGAAAACTCAAACGACATAAAGTTGTCAAGTATGGAACGTCAATTTATTCACAGTATTGCAGCCAATGATACCCTATGATGATCAGATGTATAAGTGCTGGTAACACTTTAGAGCTGAAAATGAAGTTGACGTCATTTTCTGGTTCAGGCCCTTTGGATATTTGACCAAGAAAATGTGTGCGATATTATGTTTACACTGAGTAAGCTCTTGATAACAATTTCGAGAGATCATTGCATCTCCCACGTATTTCCATGACCATCAGCAGCTTCCACAAATCTCCAATCACCACACTGGTCATCATCCATATGTGCATAAACATTAGTCAGAAGCACATTTGTCAAAGCATACACAACATGTCCTGTGAAGTACACACAACATGTACCACCGAAGCTAGGCTGTCACTGAACAATCGTTCTCTAACCACCTAAGCATGGTTCTTAGACTACAGGCTTTTACATACAATTTGTAATGTCATTTAATGCCATATTTTGCAATATGAAGGACGGTTTCAAGTAATCGTGTCTAGACAAGACACTACAGCGTCTGACATCATGAGCTTTGATCGACGTAAATGGGATAGAACGATATGCTTTAACCTTGCCCTAGAGCCTGATCACCCTCTTACAACAAGCATCGATTGCTGTAGGACAGTTCTAACCCGGTCTTCAAGGTCACTATCTATGAATGGCAGTTGTCACATATTTACATGAAATGTCTGAAGACACTTGTACACAGGCACGTATAAATGGCAATGAAAGAAAGTATTCAAATAGTTACATTGCAGCCTATAATTGTAGTCCAATCTTCACGAACACTGGCAACAAAATATAACAACGAAAAGTAAACGAAAGTGGACTTTCAGATAGGATCAGTTTCTTTTCAGCTTGGTAGACATGACATGACATGACATGACATTGTTATGACATTGTTATGACATTGTTATGACGTTTCAGGTGTACTTCGTACCCCTTCATCAGCTGAGCACACTCAGTCATGAGAATATCCATCTGATGAAGGTGCAAGAAGTAGCCTTGCACCTGACCAGATGATGGTCAGTAAGTAGCACCGAAACTCCGTTACAAGGAATAAACTGCTGTTCGGACAAAGTGTCATGTATTCAGGTTGAAAACACTACACCTTCCTTAAAACACCCAGTGTTAATTCCCGTCATGTTTTACTTATGTCACACACAGCAAGTAGCATTGAGAACATAGCATAGGAAAATGCCGTTGAAAGATAGGGTGCTGTTCTTTGATATTCACAGCATACATCATGAAATATACAATATCTGGTTGTCGTATATATACACTAAGGACAATGATATAAAACATTACCCAACACGTATGTACAATTAATGAAACATGTTAAAGACTATAATACATATAATTCTATAATACTATAATACTATAATACATATAATACTATAATACTATAATACATATAATACTATAATACTATAATACATAAATGCCGGACTAGTATCTTCAAGAACACATTCAAGGTGTAAATAATTCATGATATAAATGATTTTGTATGTTTGTTGCTAAACCCGATACTCAGCAATATTACAGCTATATGGCAGCGGTATGAAAATAATCGACCAGAAAACCCGGTGATTGACATCATAAGCATGAGAGCATGAGAGATCTTCGCATTTGGGGTATGGTGACATGTGTCAACCTAGACCCGTTAGTCGCCTCCTACGACAAGCATGAGTTGCTGAAGACCAATTACAAACCGGATGTTCACGGTTATAGTATACTAGTATATGAATATATAGCATATTTCTAAAAGGCACAATATGCGTCAACAGAACATGTATATCTTATTATCACCATAGCACCGTGGTATGCACATATAAAAGTTATTGCATGCTTATTATGATCATTTACAGTTGTAAATACACTAGTTCTACTCAAACGGAATCTATACAATGAATATGGACGGATTCATCAAGGGATAGTATCAGAGCTCAATACGCTCTTCTCTAGCCCTCTGTAAATGCAATACAGTGGAACGTCTGTTATGCCGTGGATAATACACGCTGATATAGATCAGCCTGTAAACGTCAGTGGTTACGCCGTTGGATATTGAGTATTCAGCCATGCCAAATATCACTGTATGTGTTCAATTGAGAATGCTAATAAGGGTGGATTTGACGAGAAAAGAAAACTTGAATTTAAACAGGATCGAGATGGGATACGCCGTTTCAGCAATACTCCTTGTACATATACAAGAAAGCAAACCCGTTTGGCGTAATAAACTAAAGTTTTCGAATCTCATCAAATGATGAAAATACATCATGTGACTCGTTGGCATTACTTGTATATGCGAATTGATTTAATATGGATTCAATGTCAAGAAACATTCCAGAAGTAGCACAACGGCCTATAAAATGCATAAGCCTACAGCTTTGAAAAGCCATATGATGTCAATAGAGAGAAACCTGATGCATCCCAGAATACATTGGTATGAAAACATGAAATAAAACACGTTCACGTCTTCTGTCGAAAGAGTGACTTTTGCACAGAATCAAGGAGTTGTTACTGATCGATACATTATTTTTGTAGAAACATCTGGATCTTCACGGATGAGTTTGGATAGTTAACGTCTCTAGCAACACTATACCGGCTATATTACGGCGGTGATGCCTGGACATGCCTGGCTAGTGATCCAGCGAGCTTGAGGTGTGGGGATCGAGCCCACCTGTGACCGGGTGTAAACACCTTGGAGTCAACTTTGTGTGCAGACTCTCTCAGTGTTGTCACAACCCCTAGTGTACAGTACACAACCCTGTGCACCTAAAAGAACCCACGAATTCGTTGGTTTATGACCAGATGGTGGCCACATGAATACGTGCAAACACCTAGATGCGGCTACAGCAACGTGCAGTGAACTTGGACAAAATACTGTGACTATGTGTCCCAGTCCACCCAGCTGTGAATGGGTACCTCGTTAGGATGAGAAAGCCACAATAACTCGGTGCGCCTAGTGGCTGCAAGAGATGTATACTCCCAAGGGAGTTGAGATTGATAACTAGTTGCCTGGATATGTGCGCTATAGAAATATCGTATAATGATAATGATAACAGGGCAATCCAGTGGTCGATATTGCAGGGGTACGATGACACCCCTCACCACTCATTCATTCAGATATACTGGACCCACTACAACTCAGAATACCCTCGAGGATCTTTCCCTTCCGTCTACGGAACAACAATCATGATATGATTTTCTGTACCATTAAATGGACACTCGGGAGTGATTATCCTCTGACGTTTATCTTCAGATACTGGATTGTTTTCTGCTTTTGTTTTGGCTTTCGTTTTGGGTGGATATGGGGTTTGTACGGGTAATTAAGAAATCTTACAAAGTTTAAATTTGACACATCATGTACAAGACGTTTGTGTTCGCTCTCAATTGCACAATTCTCACTTGGCGTCTAAGTTTTCTGAACATACGGCAAACTGAGGTTCCACATTCATTTCAGTCACAGAGGCGGTCGTCACTATACTAATAGTGGACAGGTGGTTATATGTATATGATAAAACATTAAAATGCATAATAATACAAACATACAAACAAACAATAAAAACTTAGTAAAGCAATGAACTTGACTTTGAGATTGTTGTTTCAGTTAGTCTTTCATCGTTGTTAAAACTCAATTCAAACTGTTACCAAAACCTTGTAAGGTATTAAATATAGTTACTTATAAACTGCCGAGCAAAGGTAAGCATATCTTTGGAAAATGTATTTTACAAAACAATTAGACTTGAATTAGACCAAACAATTAGACCAAAACATGAATAGACAGGATGCAGTTGCTGAAACTCAGATTTAGGTTTAAAAACACATCTCTAATGCCTGGAGCCAATACATCTGTATAGAATAATCACTTCTTATTCATTTCATTTTAGGCCACAATATAACGTGGGTGTATACACTAGTTTGTCCGGTAGTTTACTTAGAAATGCCACAGATAGTCCAATCGGAGTTTGTGAAAACTAAACACACGAATATCTGTTGTAAAATGAATGCTGTAAAACATAATGGCTGACAGCGAGGTTTGGGCTTTCAGATGCGTTCAGCAGTTTGAAATGATGGTCAGGTTACGATATTTCAATTCTTGGAATATTCCCGCTCCCTACTGAGTCAAGAAAAGCAACCTTTATGTCCACTGGCATTGGGCTGAAACTGACTTCTATCGTCATCGGTCTCACTTATGTCGGACTTCAGTAGCTTGTCAACGTTGTCCAAAGGTGGTAACTTCATGCGGTTCAAATCGAGGTCACGATCCTGGAAGGGCTGCTTTTTGTTTTCCATTACTGGTCTGTCCGGGAGTGTCAAATGATCCGTGAATACCCCCTCCTGTGACTGGGCATCCGTCGCGATGTCACTTCCTATATCTGACGTGTCGGAGAAGTTCGACATAGAGATTGATGTCTTTCTGAGGACGGCGCTGTACATGGAGTCGAACATGCCGTGGCCGAGGGGGTTTCCTGATGGCGATGGTGCTCGAGAGTCACACTCCTCTTCGTAGGACTTCTGGAGCCTGAAATATCGATTAAGTGAATCCAGCTGAAATGTCGAACTACAAGTGGAAAATGAAACCGAGGGACATATCTGTCCCGAGTCATTGGTGGATTTTCGACAGTCGTCCCTCGTTGTGTCGAACACGTAGGGACAAGAGTCCGAAACATCAGGTGAACTTTATATTAAATTTGGATACTCTTTAAAGAATTCCAGAAAACAGGAACTCAACGCATCCTAGTTCGACACACAATGGTTCCATTTCCACATCACGGCCCATATATGTTTAATATGATTCCAGTTAAAATGTAATCCAGCTGCTTGAAACTTCCCAGGTTCTAAACCTGAGGCAGAGGTCAGTCTAGCCTGCGTTAGATCAAGAAAGCCTATGCTCCAGTTTGAATTAGCATTTACTACATAATTCACACAAATAACGTGCAAAGACACTTGGTGAACAATTTACTTGCCTTTCCATGTATTTAATTTGTGACAGGTAACACTGGTGTAGCAGGATACTTGCGGACACCTTGTACCATAACTATGCCATAGTCACTTATATACTGATATAAACAACTATTCTTAATTAGGGTGACAACCATTATTGGCATGAGCATATAAACAACTATCTTAATTATACAACATATTTCTATGAACTAATGTCCTCAAAATCTGCGTCATGCTGTACGATATCTCTGCGAAAGCGTATGTCGGCATACGTTTGTGGGGTCGGTGGTATATACTGACGAAGATAAGAAAGTATACACCTGGTGTTTTGGGACTATTCCCATTAACACCATAAATATTTTGCTATCAATGTTGTAATTGGGTACAATATCTGTGGTGTTTTGGAAACACTTGCACAATGTTTGTGACAAGGCAGAATCAAAACACTTTTAAAATATTAATGCTGTTTCAAAGAAAATATTTTACCAAAGAATCAGGTGTGTACTTTCTTTTGAACGTCAGTTTAGCTTTAGGGCGAAAGCGTTAGCTTGTCACGCCGAAAACTCGAGTTTGATTCCCTAAATTATGGGCGCAATGTAAGAAGTTTATCTCAGACGCCAACACCAAACCCTCCTCCGCGTGATGGTCTGGGGATGTTGCTTATTCACTGTTGGCGTTTCAGGTCGCCCATATCAATTCGACCTATGACCTTTGATGATTGCACTTACTTGATCATGCAGTCAGGCAAGGGCCTCTTGTAGTCTGTCTTCCCAACCAGCCAGAATGTTCTCTGGTTCCCTTTGCCCTACAGGGTAAAAACTTTAAAATAGAATCGTTTGTGTGTTGGTTCTTTGACACCGCACTCGCGAATATTGCAACTCTGTAATGGCGGCCTGTATATGAATCCAAAATCGTCATCCTACGGGAGTGATTTTAGCTTAAAATTAAAATCTAGAGTGACGCGATTATGGCGTAGTATTGATTGAATTACAAGCACCACTCTGTCCAGACATTTTGATTGTCTCGCATTGCATGTACTACCTTGATTGATGTCAACCCTCGTTCAACTGTGATGAAACCTTGCCTCAGGTCCTGGAGTGCCATGTTGTAGTGTGCACTTGTGTGTATGTGCAAAGCTACGGAAACAAACATACTGGTTAATAGAGACATATTGATGCCTTGACAGTACAAGTGTATCTGTCATGTAAACTACTTATTATAAGATGTGGCAAAATACATATTAGGTGATGAAAATACCGTTTGGATGTGATGATGATGATGATGATGATGATGGTGGTGGTGGTGGTGATAATAACGGTGATGATGATGAGAAGGAGGAGGAAGGTAATTGCGATAATAATAATTTAGTCTCTATTAAAGTGAGTAAGTGAATGAGTTGTGTTTTACGCAGCTGTTACCAATATTCAAGCAATATCACGGCGGGGAACACAAGACATGGGCTTCACACATTGTACTCATATGGGGAATCGAACCCAGGTCTTTGTGGTAACCACTATGCCAACCCGCCACCCCGATAATTAAGAGGGTGTTATCGTCATACATTGAATACTGTACATGTGGGGAATCCAACCCGGGCCTTCGGCGTGACGAGCGAACGCTTTAACCACTAGGCAACTCCACCGCACTATATTAAAGGATCGAGTATGTTGTCAGCGTCCTTTTTACGAGAAACTAAGGAACGGTGTGGAACTGGTCAACCAGATAATTTCACCATTTATTAGAGAGAGTGTAGAAGAAGGAAGCATATAGTTCGAAACAAGTTAAAATCCATAAAATCTCAAGCATATCGCTTCAAGTTGTCATCCAGACTTAATGCGTCAATAATCCAGGTAAACCGCAGTAAATTTCTGTTAAAGCATAGGTGATAATGATGAGACACATTACACTGTATTGGCAAATTTGAATCCACATTCAAAGGAATCTCAGTCTGCACAAGTCTAATTTGATGCGTCAGGATTGCAATAAATCTCACGAACCTTTTCCAGTGGATTCCATCCTTGACGCCATGTTGACAGTGTCGCCAAACAGACAGTACCTCGGCATGGTCAGCCCAACAACCCCAGCTGCGCAGGAACCCGTATGTAGGCCTGCGCGCAGCTGCAACTTCTCTTCCGGTATGTGGCGGAGCCGGAAGCTAGTGACTGCGCTGATGAGGTCTAGAGCCATGATGGCTATCTCGCCCGAATGTTTTTTACCATTTCGTTTTGGAATCCCGCTTGCACACATGTAAGCGTCGCCAATAGTTTCAACCTGACGTGAACATGAAAGATTGTATCGTTAGTTCAAGAACTGAATCTTCAGATAGGTTGGATATACTACTTGACTAAACGATTCCTGATCCCCCCCCCCCCCAATTTAAAAAATAAATAAATGGTGGCCCAAAGAGTCAATGCAGTGTTCGTTTGTTATAATTTGAAGTCCACTTCATTCTAGCCAAAAATGATTTAAACTAGTATCTATTGTTAATCTTTCCCATCATCTACAAATGACAACGTCCTACGTTGAAGGACCCGTAAAGATCCGGGGTAGAATAGGTCTTCAGCAACCCATGCTTGCCACAAAAGGCGACTATGTTTGTCGTAAGAGGCGACAAACGGGATCGGGTGGTTAGGCTCGCTGGCTTGGTTGACACATGTGTCATCGGTTCCCAATTGCGCAGATCGATGCTCATGCTGTTGATCACTGGATTGTCTGGTCCAGACTCGATTATTTACAGACCGCCGCCATATAGCTGGAATATTGCTGAGTGCGGCGTAAAACTAAACGCACTCACTCACTCCTACGTTGAGGAAAGCTGATCGTCACATATTCGCTGAATAACGGTATCCATTCACAGCATCCATTGTGTGATGGGGATAGATTGTCAATAAACAGTTTCTTCCCGATAGGTTCGAAAATGGCCCACAAGTTTAGAAAATCGTGGCTGGTTGTTTTGAAAACTTTAACTTTTAGGCAACCCCAAAATGGAAAAAATTATGCCGTTTTTGGAAGCAATGAGTAATTCTTCACCAGATCAGACTATGTCTGTTTGGAATGGGAGACAACACAACATTTGAACATCAAGTATCTGTTATTGTCTACGAATAAAGCTGGCTCATCACTCACTTTATAGACATCGTGTTTGGAAATAATTCCATCGAATGTGGTATACAGGTCATTCAGTAAATCCACGACCTGAAAGAACATAAAAAACAATAATAATAATAATAATAATAATAATAATCTATTTCCGAATTATCTGGTAGTGTATAGTGAGTTCAAATGCCTCTATTATTTTGAACCTGTATGTATTAAATTAGTAATGTTGCTGTCATCGTATACTCATGCCAATAAGGGTTGTCAACCCCCTCCCACCCCAACCCCACACACACCTCACACACCCAACCCCACACCCCATCTGCAATTAAAAAAATTGAAGGGTGTGACAACCATTATTAGCATGAGTATATTTTACTTTACCCATAACAAATACATTGACTATGAGACACGAGTGGGCCTTTAGTCGAAGGCGGAGCATCTCGCCGTACGTGCCCCTTGGACATAACACCAGCCTAGGTTCTCAGTGCGTAAATAGGCACATCTTGTTTCCTCCACGAGTTTAATGCCTCGTCACATATTGTTGGATATCCCGAATAAGAGCAACAATTGAATACTATTTCTTGAACATCGAGATAAAGTGGGTGTTTTTTACCAATCCCGCTAGAAACTAACCTCCAAAGGTTCGCTAAGACTTGCAATTTTAGTGAATCCTACAATGTCAGAGAAAAATATGGAGACTTCTTCAAATGTTTCCGGTATCACAGGTTGCCCCATCCTCAGCTGGTTGGCGACAGACCTGGAACAGAGAGAAGGGAGGGAACTCTGTCAAGACTGGATCAGTACACGCGATGTACCAGCGGTGTTCTTGTTGTTGTTGATATCTGTGAAAATATCACAATGATTTCAACAACTGACAACAGTTAGAAGTAGCTGTGCGTCTGCTTTTACCAGAGATTTCTTGTGGATGTGGAAAGGGTTTCGTCGCTTATTGCTACTGTGCATGAGAACTTACAGATGTGGAATGGAATGTGTTTGTCCGTGTACGTGTCTGTCTGTCTGTCTGTCTGTCTCGAACATTCGAGTACTCACGGAGGCAGCATCGTGTATAGCAGTCTCTCCGTCTTCTGTTTCTCCAGAGCCAGCTCTTCTGTCCGATCCGCCACCAACTGTTCCAGATTGTTGCTGTAAGCCTCCAGCATCTTCAGCATGTTGTCCAGGATGTTCGTCTTCCTACCAGAGAAGAAACATCAGTCAGTCAAATATCCAAAGAACTTTCGAAAGTCGACCACGTGCCACATGCAAATAAATGATCCCTCACAAATACCAGCAACACCATACCTTTCACCAAATGCTTGAATCATCGACGGATAGGGTTTGTTTGTTTGCTCGTTAACGCAGCAAAATCCCAGCTCTATGACGGCAGTTTGTACTTGATCGAATCCAGCCCAGAAAACCCAGTGATTGACATCATGAGCATCGATGTACGCAACCGGCATGGCATGCATCAATCAAGTCAGCGAGCCTTACTACTCGTACTCATTAATTACTCTTACGACAAACATGGGTTGCTGAAGGCTAACTGTTACGGGTGACAAATATATTCCTCAAACTCTACCCTAAGTAGTAAATGCCATCTGAACTCTCTGCTTATGTTTGTTGTCTGCACGCCAACCTATACCCTTTTCAATCTCTTAACTTCTCAGAAACTGACGAATAATGAATTAATACCTCCATGAATTTCCGATCCTTACCAAGCTCTTCCCCTTCACCCTCTACCCTTCCCGAACATGGATGAATGATTAAGAATGACCCACCTCATTCTCCCATCAATTCTTCACTTTCTGTCTTAAAAAGCAGCCACAAGAATGCGAATTGGTGAGTGAGTGAGTTTACTATTAATAATTTTACGCCGCTTTTAGCAATATGCCAGCAGTATCATGGCGGGGGACACCAGAAATAGGATTCACACTTAGTAACTATGTGGGGAATCGAACCCGGGCCTTCTGCGTGACGAGCGGACGCTTTAACCACTAGGCTACCCAACCGCCCCAGAATGCGAATTTGTTTTAGCGATGATAATGATTCTTCATCAGTTTTTAACGAGTGATGTAAGCCTTTTTCAAATGAAGCAACGCACTATAAAAGTTTAGTTCAAACTTAAGTGTTGCTGATGAGTGGTATAGATTCTGGACAAATACAGTGAAGCCTCGTTAATCCGGACGGTTGCGTTTCTCAGCAAATTCGTCCGGATTTCGAATAGTCCGGACTACTGAATCAAGACCCAAGTTCAAGCAAGGGTTGCTTCCCTTACTATTACAAAAACGACACGACTCTGGACAAAACAAATATTCATTATTCACTATACATTATTCACTAACTTTCCGCCATTGATGTCGATAAGCCTCTTCCTGACTGTATGGAAGTCCGGGCGGAGGTCAGGCACTTCTGACCAGCATGACGTCATCAACATGATGCCCTTTTCTGGGATCTCCGAGTCTTCGTGGAAATTTGGGCGGTATGGCTCAGTGACTCGGTGCCCCCTTCTTTTACTCTGGTGATGATTTCTGTGTCGGAAACAATATCTAATGTAATGTTATTTTTCGAAATGTCGAACCATCACTTACTTGAGATGTTGTTATTCATTACGATATATGTTTCCATAATAATTATGTCCTTTGCCAAACGATATTGAGCTTGAATATGTGGAAGAATTTGTTTCTAATACGTGTTTGTTTCATGTTTAAGGCCGCACTCAACAATGTTCCAGCTATATGGCGGCGGTCTCTAAATAATCGAGTCTGGACCAGACAATCCAGTGATCAGCAGCATGGGCATCGGTCTACGCAAATGGGATACGATGACATGTGTCAACCAACTCAGCGAGTCTGACCACCCTATCACGTTTGTCACCTCTTGGATTGCTGAAGACCAATTCTAACCCGGACCTTCACAGGTTGCCAATGCTGAATACATGGAGGGGTTGTATGGCCTCGTTTTGCCTCAGATGAAATCACCATGAAATCGGATGAGAGGCGTCAATGGTATCATATTTGTCCACGCCAAATGTTCTGGATTTATAAAATATATATGGATATGCTTGCACCAATCTCCAAGGGGTTTAACATGTGCGAAATAGCCAGATTACACATATGTATATTGCATGGGAAAAACCTTTGGGTATAGTCCGTTTTGCTCAAAATCGGACCGATGAATTGCAATCTAAGTCGAAAACAACTAAACATAAAATACTCAATGAAACAGTAATCATAATCATAACATCAGACCATCTCTGTGATTGTTTTGCAGAATTTATTACCTAAAAATAAAAAAGTTGTTTAACAAACTATCATTAAAATTTTGACACAGTTAAAAAATTGTTACGCGAGAGGGTGCAAAGGGAGGAACAGCCAGTTGTACGGGGAGCACGTGCACAAGTGCCGACAAAGTCATTGATTCATTAACCTGGACCTCGTTACACAAATCTCTCGTAACCCTAAGATATCGTTACCTTTCTCGTAGCATTCGTACCTCCTATACTGTAACATAGGTAGTAAGAATGCTACGAGAAAAGTGACGAGATCTTAGGCTTACGAGAGCTTTGTGAAACGGGGCCCTGTGCTGTTCCGTCTCCATCCTTTTTAGCACACCTGGCTGTTCCTCTCTTTGCAGGCCTCCCTCGTAACAAATAGTGAACTGAGTCAAGATTTTAATGATAGTTTGTTAAACAACTTTTTATTTTAAGACATAAATTCTGAAAAAATCACAGAGTTGGTCTGATGTTTTGATTATGATCAGTGTTTAATTGAGTACTATATGTTTAGTAGTTTTCGCGTTAAATTGGATTTCGTCGGTCCGATTTTGAGCCAAACAGACTATAGTCATTTAACCATCCACTAGTTCCCAACCTTTGGGTGAAGTGTCGTTGTAATAGTACGGGCCGCAGCGTTGATGAATCTCCTGGAAGATGATGGCAAAACTGTAGACATCCCCCTTCTGTGTTCCTCGTGAAGGGCGTTTGTCTAGGCGTAGTAGTTCTGGGGCCGTCCACAACAGTTCTGCAAATATGGAGGTTTAGGAACCTGAATCATCTGTCTCTTCGTGAATGCACAATGCCATTTAGAAAGTTGTAAATGTTACATATGTTATATTTAGGATTACACTTTATTAGCAAAGTACAGATTCTGGTACTTTTAATAATTTGTGTCCCATAAGGGATTCGAACCCACACTCTGAAAGTACGTGATCTAGACAACCGGTTTCCGACTTCCGTTTTTGTGGAGGCTAAGCTGCGATGGCTGAGTGGCTTAGATCGCTGATGGCAATTTCGATGCCTGACTCGGAAAGTGTGGTTTCGAATCTCGGATGGGACTCAACCCAACATAAGTACTAGAATCTGTACTTGCAATCCCAAATATACAAGGTTGTCTCGTTTGGTTTTGCGTCATTCTTCGAACTTAAGTTTCTTCTCTGATGTTTCTTCTTCATTTAGCCACGCTCGCTAAGATTAGCTTTAGGATCCGTAGCACTAAAGTACTATTAAAGTACTGTTGTGTTAATTCATTTAAGTAATACATTTGTATTTTCAATGTTTCCCTTCGACGAGGGCGTCAGCAGTTCCTACAAACCATGGACATAATGCTCCATGAATTATACAAATACACCCTTCAACCAAATCATAGGTATTATCAAAGGAGTATAGTTTGGTTGAGTCTATTTGGTATTAGTATTTTGTCAGTGACAATTGTACAGGGACGGATTAAAGAAGCAATCTTAATTTAGTTCTTGGCTCTGTTGAATATAAGCGACAGAACAGTTAACATATGCATAGGAAATCGTAAAAGGAATGTCCATTGTCATATTGCACCAATACCATGTATTTATGAAACACTGTGAAACAGTGATGATTCCAGATGTCAAAAAAGGGTGAGCACGTCTTTGCGCTCTTCACAAACACATGCAAAGGCAGGCAAGAATAATGACTAGATGTCCTACTGTTGTAAAACTCGTGTTCCCCCATGTCGTCATCGGGTTCCTTTGGTTGTGGAGTGACAGCACCAAAGTCCGTGATCTTCAACACCCACCGACTGTCAATGACACAGTTGCTAGACTTGAGGTTTCCGTGGGACTTTAGGGGACTCTTGTGGAGATATTCCATTCCCTGGGTAGAAACAGAGTATGTTATGAAATATTGAAAGAAATGGATGTGGGTCGGCGATACGCAAATGGTGGAGCAACTGTTGGTTGAACTGTCCGTAAATAATATTGACTTATGTATTAGAGGGTTAGTGGAAGAAGTAGGGTTAGCAGTGTAGTAGAAGTGGTAGTGTCAGTAGTAGCACTAGTAGTCATTATGTTAGTAGTAGTAGTATTAGCTGCAGTAGTAGTGTAGTAGTAGTAGTCATTATGTTAGTGAGGTGAGGTAGTAGTAGTAGTAGTAGTAGTAGTAGTAGTAGTAGTTATATAGTAGCAATGAAGCAGTACTGTCATTAGTACTAGTAGAAGTAGTAGTAGTCCGGGGATCGCAGCGACCTTCATCTGGACGCTGTAACCACTACACCAGATCTATTGAAATGTAGTTAGTAGTAGTAGTAGTAGTAGTAACAGCAGCACTAGCAGCAACAACGGCACCAGCATTAGTAGCAGCATTAGTAGCGGCACGGCACTTACCTTAGATAGATCTATTGCAAATGACATCTTGAACATCCAATCCAAGCTGATGTCGTCGTTCTCAAGGACGTCCTACGAAGACAAATATTCAATTGATATATACTGTGTGTCAACATTACCATCTGTATATTTGTGTGATTTATTTGAATTTTTGATAAATTCTCAGAGAATGCGTATGGGTTTACGCCGATTTCAGCAATATCCTCGCAGTATCACTGTGGTAACAGCACAGATGTCCATCAAAGATTGTCCTGTTGTTGGCAATCAGACCAGAGGGTACGTTTTTTACCTTTATGCTACCCTGTCACCCAGATATGATGTTTCAATATGAGATCCTGATTTCACGGTTAGTGCACCGTCTTCATCGGACGGTGAGTGAAGGGTAAAAATGATTTTACGCCGCGTTTAGTACTTTCAAACAATGTCACGGCGGAGGACACCAGAAATGGCCTTCAAACATTGTACTGATGTTGGGAATCAAACCCGGGTCTTCAAAGTGACGCGCGAACGCTGTCACTACTACGTTACTCCACCGCCCCTCCTTGGGCTATGTCGGATTCGATCAAATTAAAGAGGTACAGTGCGTGACCACCATTTGTCGGACGTCCAGCCTTGATGGCTGTGTGGGTTAAATGGGAAACCAAGAAGTTCTAGAATGTGTACTTAAGAACGTCACTCAATCAAGTATGTATGGTTGTCCGCCTATCTTGCGATGATCCTCTACAAACACATCCCATGGCATATTGTAGCGCTACAGCCCAATGTTATGATAACTGAAGACTGCATAAAATATGCATGCTGTTCTATCCTACCTGTAAGCTTCCTTTATTGCAGTACTTGTAAAGAAAATAGCTATTATTTGGGTCCAAGTTGGCGCCTATAAACTGGTTCAGATTGTCGTGCTGGAGTTCCTTTACCTGTAAATGAAAGCGAAAACATATTTTCTAAACTTATACGAAGCCGCTGCTTAAAGCAGCGTCCATTCCGAAGTTATCATAGGCATGCGTTCATGGATCGCCATAGTGATAATACCAGGAATTCATGACAATGCGTCAAGCTAAATTTCAAATGAGAAGTCTACAGTCACACCCGATGTGTCGACATCGGATGTGTCGAATGTACGGTTGTATCGAAGTAATTGCTTAGTCCATGCGTGTTCTTTGGTGGTTAAAAAATGGTGGTTTATTTCAGAAAAGTAATATAGGCCATAGGCCCAGGTTACACTTTGAGAATTACAGTTCTTCATTCGGTCACTTTTTTGTGGCTTTGTCGAACCTGTGATAACTCGAAGTATATGTGTAGGTCCCTTCAACTTAGACACAAGGGTGTTTGGTTGTGTATGTCCCCACAAAAAGGCAAAGTAACAGTCGTGAGAAGTTGGTTTGTCATTTGTCACATTGACGCTTACCGTAGTAAATAGAGTTAAACAGAAACTGAGAACACAATGGTTAAACAACATACCAGGTTGAAATTCTGGGTCATTTCTGAGGTCAGTTTGACCTGAGCTTGTCGTATTTTCTTCACAGCCACAACACAGCCCTGTCAATACATATTCATTATTACAATGGATAAAGAAGACACAACTCACCACAATATAGTTTTTCATCACAAGTAGGCGTTTGGTATAATGAAAGTAAATGCATAATCTGTAATGTGTTCCCCAGCAAATATACCGTTATAATTAACACTAATGTCTGTTGTTCGTGGAGTTGGATCATTTCGGTTTCTCCATACACTGTAAGACGTGAGTGATTGAGTAAGTTTAGTTTTACGCCGCTTTTAGCAATATTCAAAGCAATAAGCAGAGGTCACCAGAAATGGGCTTTACATGTTGTACCCATGTGGGCAGGTCGTCGGCGTGGCGAGTAGGAGCTACAGATGGTTCTAAACGTGTGCTCCTCATATCATGGATTAAGTGATGCTCGGATGGTGGTATCTTTAGTGTGCTTTATACTGACTGACCGAGTTTGGTTTTACGCCGCTTTTAGCAATATTCCAGCAAAATCACGGCGGGGGACTCCAGAAATGGGCTTCACATGTTGTACCCATGTGGGAAATCGAACCCAGGTCGTCGGCGTGGCGAGCGAACACTTTAACCATTACGCTACCCCACCGACCCTTAGTGATGTAGTGGACATCCAAAAGGGATAAATCGTACCTTGTAGTTTCCGATGGGCGCAAACAACATATTCCTGTCTAGGCTTGTAATGGATCCTAAACCAAGAGTGCCTCGAGTCTCCTGAAAGAATGGAAGGATGATGACTTTAGAGAAAAGTAGAAAACATCTGGATATATTTCAATCTATATATACGAGAGGCGATAAAAAAGTATGTAGAACCACCAAGAAAACGATACGAATGCAGTTATTTTTATGTTTTATTTTTCTACACATTATCTGTCAAGCTCAAGCAATTTGGTTTTGCTATGTTCCAGTCTCACGATCCCCATTTTGTTTGACCTTTTATCTTTGTACCCTCAAAAAACGCAAAATCTACATTAAATGCATCAAATACTTCAGGCAACAAAATATCCAAGAAATATTTTGTGTGTTTGGGATTGATAGATGTCCCCTAGAATCACACTTAGATATTAAAGTCCATAAAAAAGCAATTTGAGATTACAATCGCTTGTTAAAGTGACTCCCCCTTCATGTTGACTGAAAGAGCTTGTTTTGGAGTCACTACCCATCCCCCTTTCAGATGACGTAATCTAGAGGGCATAGCTTATTCTAATGTTTTCACTATGCATACATATGATGCCAAGGGTTCAAACTAAACACTGAATGGTCACACAAGTGTCAGCTCACAATATATTGTAAACAGTGCCAGCTTGAATATCTGGACACAGTTTTTTTGAAAGATTAAAATAGGAGTGTCCTTAAAAATAGCCCCCGACTAAATATAAATCAGGCAATCCAAATCTTTGCCTGTTGATCATGACGGGAAGTCATCCAATACTATACTGAACATATTTTATATGACATTTTCTGAGGGCATACCATTATCAAAGGGGTACCAAAGGACAAATCGTTTTTCATTTTCTGCAATTTTGTTAGAAATATTATACCCCAATGCTTACAAATATCTGGTGAACCACATTACCCACACATGTGAAATTTTGGATATGGCTTTGCTAACGATTCCTTCAAAATAAAATAGAAGCTTTTAAAACATTGGCCATGGCGAATATACTTAGGCTACCTACTTTGTGATCGACAATCGTATTTTGCCATGGTTTCACCTTTTGTCACGGATTATAATAAAACATGTAAACAGAGATCTACTATCGAGTAAAAACTGTCACAGAAGTGTTGTTGAAGACAAATATAATTTTGTTGTGGTCTTTGTAAATTTGTAGCATATTTACTGCTTCCTCTTAGTAAACCTATCGAAACATTCATCACCAACTGTTCTACTAGTAACAGAGGTTGTGTTATTATGAAACAATGTGTCATTGATCCATATAATAATGATAACACATCTCTGCTTTGTATGGTACCGGATTCATAAAAAGCATGTGTTTATGAATCACTATCAAATAGAAGTGACGGCAGGTTTCTCTGAAAACGTACCACTCGTTTGTAACATAGCCTGTCTCACAGTCCCGGCGCCCCATTATTTTCCTTACTATCTCGCCTTCTCTGCAATGCTAACGCTCTTACCGAAGCAAAGGTATATTTCCTCAGATTCAGGCATCTCACGGGGCGCTCTTTTTCGATTTAAATGGGATTATTTTTCACACCCAAACTTATATATATTCAGAGACTAAACGTTAGTCTAGTCTGTGTACACTGTCTCACAGTCCCGGCCCCATTATTTCCCTACTACCTTGCCCTCTCTGCAATGTTAAAGCCCTTAATGAAGCAAGTTTAGATTTCCTCAGATAAATCAAAATTATACTTATTACAGGGACTAAACGTTGGTCTAGTCTGTACCACCCTGTCTCACAGTCCCGGCGCCCCATTATTTCCCTACTACCTTGCCCTCTCTGCAATGTTAAAGCCCTTAATGAAGCAAGTTTAGATTTCCTCAGATAAATCAAAATTATACTTATTACAGGGACTAAACGTTGGTCTAGTCTGTAGCACCCTGTCTCACAGTCCCGGCGCCCCATTATTTCCTTACTACCTTTGCCCTCTCTGTAACGTTAAAGCCCTTAATGAAGCAAGTTTAGATTTCCTCAGATAAATCAAAATTATACTTATTACAGGGACTAAACGTTAGTCTAGTCTGTAGCACCCTGTCTCACAGTCCCGGCGCCCCATTATTTTCCCTACTACCTTGCCCTCTCTGCAATGTTAAAGCCCTTAATGAAGCAAGTTTAGATTTCCTCAGATAAATCAAAATTATACTTATTACAGGGACTAAACGTTGGTCTAGTCTGTACCACCCTGTCTCACAGTCCCGGCGCCCCATTATTTCCTTACTACCTTGCCCTCTCTGTAACGTTAAAGCCCTAAATGAAGCAAGTTTAGATTTCCTCAGATAAATCAAAATTATACTTATTACAGGGACTAAACGTTGGTCTAGTCTGTACCACCCTGTCTCACAGTCCCGGCGCCCCATTATTTCCTTACTACCTTGCCCTCTCTGTAACGTTAAAGCCCTAAATGAAGCAAGTTTAGATTTCCTCAGATAAATCAAAATTATACTTATTACAGGGACTAAACGTTGGTCTAGTCTGTACCACCCTGTCTCACAGTCCCGGCGCCCCATTATTTTCCCTACTACCTTGCCCTCTCTGCAATGTTAAAGCCCTAAATGAAGCAAGTTTAGATTTCCTCAGATAAATCAAAATTATACTTATTACAGGGACTAAACGTTGGTCTAATCTGTACCACCCTGTCTCACAGTCCCGGCGCCCCATTATTTCCTTACTACTTGCCCTCTCTGTAACGTTAAAGCCCTAAATGAAGCAAGTTTAGATTTCCTCAGATAAATCAAAATTATACTTATTACAGGGACTAAACGTTGGTCTAGTCTGTACCACCCTGTCTCACAGTCCCGGCGCCCCATTATTTCCTTACTACCTTGCCCTCTCTGTAACGTTAAAGCCCTAAATGAAGCAAGTTTAGATTTCCTCAGATAAATCAAAATTATACTTATTACAGGGACTAAACGTTGGTCTAGTCTGTACCACCCTGTCTCACAGTCCCGGCGCCCCATTATTTCCTTACTACCTTGCCCTCTCTGTAACGTTAAAGCCCTAAATGAAGCAAGTTTAGATTTCCTCAGATAAATCAAAATTATACTTATTACAGGGACTAAACGTTGGTCTAGTCTCTGTACCACCCTGTCTCACAGTCCCGGCGCCCCATTATTTCCTTACTACCTTGCCCTCTCTGTAACGTTAAAGCCCTAAATGAAGCAAGTTTAGATTTCCTCAGATAAATCAAAATTATACTTATTACAGGGACTAAACGTTGGTCTAGTCTGTACCACCCTGTCTCACAGTCCCGGCGCCCCATTATTTCCTTACTACCTTGCCCTCTCTGTAACGTTAAAGCCCTAAATGAAGCAAGTTTAGATTTCCTCAGATAAATCAAAATTATACTTATTACAGGGACTAAACGTTGGTCTAGTCTGTACCACCCTGTCTCACAGTCCCGGCGCCCCATTATTTCCTTACTACCTTGCCTCTCTGTAACGTTAAAGCCCTAAAATGAAGCAAGTTTAGATTTCCTCAGATAAATCAAAATTATACTTATTACAGGGACTAAACGTTGGTCTAGTCTGTACCCACCCTGTCTCACAGTCCGGCGCCCCATTATTTCCTTACTACCTTGCCCTCTCTGTAACGTTAAAGCCCTAAATGAAGCAAGTTTAGATTTCCTCAGATAAATCAAAATTATACTTATTACAGGGACTAAACGTTGGTCTAGTCTGTACCACCCTGTCTCACAGTCCCGGCGCCCCATTATTTCCTTACTACCTTGCCCTCTCTGCAATGTTAAAGCCCTAAATGAAGCAAGTTTAGATTTCCTCAGATAAATCAAAATTATACTTATTACAGGGACTAAACGTTAATCTAGTCTGTAGCACCCTGCCTCACAGTCCCGGCGCCCCGTTATTTTCCCTACTGCGCATGCCTTGCCCTCATTGTAATGTTAAAGCCCTAAATGAAGTAAATTTAGATTTCCTCAGATAAATCAAATTATACTTATTACGGGGACTAAATGTTAGTCTAGACTGTGTACACTGTGTCCATTTGAAATTAAACTGTCTTTGGTATCAATGAAAACTCCCATACAATCAAGGTGGGCAGTATGTATATGGTATATTTATCGAGGGTATGTGAAATTGTCTACAACGTAATGTTATGTTACTTTTACCATTCTCATAAGTTTGCGTCTGGGATTGGCTTCGACATTTGCAGGGTTAACTCTGGTTCTTCTCATCTTGACATCATGGGTGTTAACCTTCCATACTTTGCTTGCCTTTCGCTTCATCAAAGACTTCCTGCAAATAACGGAATGCATCTGTCATGTACTGGATGACTATTTGGTATAACGGCCTATATGCTGATGAGGAAGGAACGACCAAAGTAATGCAGGTCTGAGACATTGGTGGACGATGGGGTAGCCTAGCGATGTGCAATGTGTGAAGACCATTAAGGAGTTCCCTGCTTTGATATTGCTGGAACATTGCTAAAAGCGATAATCAGACGACGACGTAATCAAGTCTGTGACTTTTTGAATGTAAATACCCTGCATTAGAAGGGAACCTCACCTGAATAGAAACGAACCAGTCACAATTAAGGCTGCACCAAGAAGAGCACCAATGACTGCACCGGCTACAACTGCAGCATGGCCATCATCTGTAACAGGTATACATCGGTATATGTACCGCCACACATTGCTTATCTCACGTTGCTCACGATTTCTATGAGAGGTAAGCCATTTAAAGGAAATTCCAATTATAAACAACAAACTTCGGTTCAATGTATGTTTTTCAAAACGTTCTCTACATTGACATTTTGTACACTGTACAAAAATAAGTGTTCTGTCGGACTGACAGGCTAGGTGACTCGGTTGACTGCACGTCATGTTCAAGATACAAATCTATTTATTATCACATCTAAACTGTGGGCGGCGTGGTAGCCTATTGGTTAAGGCGTTCGCTCATCACGCCGAAGACCCGGGTTCGTTTCCCCACCTGTGTACGAGGGGCATCCCAAAAGTAGTCGGCCTCATTTAGAAAATTATATAAATGCAGCTATGTTAATTTACTACATATTATCTGTCAACTTCAAGCAAATTGCTTTTGCCATGTTGCAGCCTCGCGATCCCCATTCTGTTTGACTCTTTATCTTCTCGGTAACCCCTCCCCCCCCGTGCGCGCAAACAAGAACAATTAAACACCAAAAAACACAATAAACACACCAAAAACACACACACAAACCAACACAAACAAACAAAACCCCAAAAACAAAAACAACAACAACACATTATCCACATATGTGAAATTTTGGATATGGCTTTGCTAGTGATTCCTTCAAAATAAAATGCAAGCTTTTCTAACATCGAGGGAATATAGTTAGGGACTATTTTTGGGACGCCCCACGTACAATGTGTGACGCCCATTCTGGGGTCCATGATTTATTAAAGCGAAGAAAAACTAAACTCACTCACTCACTTGTACAAAATGGAATGTTTATAGACAGTCGTCTCACGTCGGTGTTCAACAACATGCAAATATATTAATGCAATCTGCTATCAGCATTATGTCAATCAGAGCAAGTTGTTTAAATCTGACTTTCTGTACAGTCGTATCAAGCTGATTACTTTATTCTTGGTGCTATAGACAGACTAGAGACAGAAGTAGCTGATACGTTGAGAAGCCACTCGATTGCTATGAGAGACCTCTAAATTAATGAAGACATTTTGGTATAAATATGACAGGGACATACTTTGTATGTCTGAGTGTTATGATTAGTTTGCGCCAGTTAGCTTTTATGTATTATAAATAATCGTTAATTCTCTATCTATATTTCAGCATCCAATAGGCGCTGACATATACAATGTAAATATATATTTACATATATCGCTTGTTTCAACTCACCACAGTGACTGAAATGAAGTACTTAATAGTTCATGTATTTTAAATACGTTTCTTGATTCCAGCTCATATCAGCGCTGAAACAGTTCATATAGTTAAACGCTTAGTTTTAATGATTTTATCAGTAGGGTCTACTCAACCGTGACAACACGTTCTGTTGGTCCATTGAAGACCATGCAGGGTTGTAAACACAATGCATATGCGTGTTGTCATTGTGACCCTGTTACATAAATACCATTAACATGCCGATAATACAATTTATTATATCTAGTAGTATTGACGACGTCCTGATGCTATGACATCGCTGCACTGCAAGTCTAATGGTAGTACTGAGAGATGTACATTTTTCATTGAAAACTAATGAAGAATGATTTTTGATGATAAATATGAATCTCACCCTAGTAAAATATGTTCATATCAGACACTCGTTGTTAGGTAAAATATCCTCGGCATCCGTGACAACACGTTACGATTACAACCCTGCATTCACTATGCGTGTTGCCGATAATACAATACAGTAGTATAGTACACGTGGTCTCGCACGACGATGCATACTTCCTCACAAACGCATATGCAACTCACACCTGCACGCACACACACATGCAAACGAGAAAGACGTGATATTATCGGTTCATTATGTTTGTTGTTTTACGCCGCACTCAGCAATATTCCAGCTATATGGCGGCGGTCTATAAATAGTCGAGTCTGAACCAGACAATCCAGTGGCCAACAGCATGAGCATTGATCTACGCAGTTGGGATACGATGGCATGTCTCAACCAAGTCAGTGAGCCAGACCACCCGATCCCGTTAATCGCCTCTTACGACAAACCTGGGTTAGTGAAGATCAATTCTAACTCGGATCTTCACGGGATGCTCATAATGAATACGTGGAAGGCTTGTATGACCTCATGTGGCTTCAGATGAAAATGTCCGTGTTCTCGCTTATTCCTATCTACTCGGGTGTATCTTGGCAAGAATATAGATATAAGTATAGAGTAAACTGCATTTGTAACAGACATGCATATAACGAACTTCGGTTATAACGAACTAAAATTAGAGTTGACTGTTCATACCTTTACATGCGGGTCCGGTACACGGTGTTTGGTCATCCGGAAGTCTGCCCCAGGGCCAGTCAAGGTGTTCCAGTTTCTGCAGACCGGAACCCCCATGTACCGTAAACACTTCCATTGTTTCGTTGTGTTGGAAATGGAACACAGACAGTCGTGGAGAGCGGATACCATTGACACTGTCTATAGGTCCTGTCAGAAGCCGTGAATCTGTAGACAGAATGTAGAAATTGTAAACCAATATTGTCATTATATTAAAGACACAGTTATGTGTTTCTGAACAGGTGTTTGTACCTTTAAAATAACCAGAACTCTCATGGAAAGAAATAATATAGGTGAGTTGTGAACAAGCCTAATAACGGTGTTAGCATCTACCCCGAAACGTCGCATATATTGTAATAAAGAAGTATATCCACATCATTATCCCCTTATCCATCAGAATAACTTCTAATTGCCACTCAAAGTGAGTGAGTTTAGTTTTACGCCGCTTTTAGCAATATTCCAGCAATATCATGACGGAAGACACCATAAATGGGCTCCACACATTGAAGTCATATGAGGAATCGAACCAGGGTCTTCGGCTTGACGAGCGAACGCTTTAACCACTAGGCCACCCCACCGCCCCGCCACTCACAGATGTTATGCTGTAATGAGGCTTATATATTATAGTGGTATTAGAATGTGGTACATTATGGACTATAACAAGAATAGTGAGTGAGTCCTGTCGGTAGCCAGGAATCAGAACTGGCACGTACCAGGGGACTGACTGACTGAGTTTGGTTTTACGCCGCTTTTAGCAATATTCCAGCAACATCACGGCGGGGGACACCAGAAATGGGCTTCACACATTGTACCCATGTGGGGATTCGAACCCGGGTCTTCGGCGTGACGAACCAACGCTTTAACCACTAGGCTACCCCACCGCCCCCGTACCAGGGGAATCCGACTGTCTAATTAAAACATTTATGCTTAAGCAATATTCAAGCAATATCACGACGGGGGCACCAGAAATTAGCTTCAAATATTGTGCCCTTGTGGGGAATCGAACCCGGGTCGTCGACTTGACGAGCGAACCCTTTAACCACTAGGCTACCCCACCGCCCCTATAATAGGAATACATTTGGCATGAAACAAGTAATATGAGTAATTAAATCATATCCACCAGTAAAATTGCCTCCAGACGAAGATCCATCGACCGCGAAAATAACTGCGTCGTGAAGAAACGGCAGGTAATGTAGTATTCCCTGCAACATCATAAATAGAATATTTAATACATCGACGTCAAATAATGCTTATATTCATGAGAACCATAACATGTCTGTAACTTGAACCAATAGAACGACGTCGCAGTAATTCTGAGCCAGAATTTCACTGAGCAAGAAAGAATAACTGTCAAAATTACCGTCTCTATGCAATGTTATATAGAGGATGTTATCTGTTTCTTACACACCATAAAATCGCACCATTTTATGGTCGAATAGATGAAATTTCATTTTTTTTCTCATCGTAGGTGCGCAATAATACACAACACAACGTTTATGGAATGAGTGACGTCACTTGGTTTCCTAATCACTACTCATACCCATGGTGACCCTCAACAAAAAGTTTCTGCCACCTCTTCGCAACATCAAGGCAATAGTGATAATGATAACTAGATAAGATCACAGAAAATTAATTAAACCCTCTAAAACGATGATGTTACCATGCAAATGTGGATGATTTTAATGAGCGTGTGACGTCATCGTTATCGCTTGGTGCATGGTTGTCGTCATCGGAAGATTGTTTTGATTATTATCTCTGCATTGGGGATCTGTACTTGTGTATACCAGTTTACGTTCAATGTTCTTCCATCGACTGGAGCCAAAACTTTTGAGTGTGTGTAATTAGGTGCACCCAGTGTGCTTGAATGTGACATAGCTGAGGTTACGTTCACTATCAATGGGGACTACTCTTCTTCGCCACAGCCTTCTCGTTTTCCCAGGCAGAAACTGCCACTTGGAATGTAATGGAATTTCAGTATGAAATGTGAGTTGATTACATCCTGTATGTTATCAAGACATAAACTTTTCATTATCATGCGTCGGAGGAATGTCTTGAGCAATGACTTTTGTGTAGATCAACGGTTCTTGTACATGTTCGATTGAATAGAAAAGACGTGTGCCGCCATTTGCACTCACGAAGCCTTGCAAAACGTTCCATGTTGTACATTGTTTCAACGAGTGTGTTTTGGTTCTGATTGTCATGAGTGAATTTGATAACATTGGAATCACGCATAGTAGCTCGGGCTGGAAGTGGGTCAATGCATCAATGCATCAAAAGAAACAACGAGGCAAATCGATCTCACAATGGACAGGCACTGGCGTTATCGTATCAGGTATTTTTGCAAGACGACACATGACACTTGTCGCATCTCTCCAGTAAAAGTACCAATGTTGTACATTTTGAATATTCGAAGGGAATCCGGGCTTTATCTCTAACGGTGATTTTCACATAAATGTTTACACAGGTATCACTGATTGTTCGAGCCATTGTGAATTCAAGGCTAGAAATCAAAAGTTTTAATAAAAAGAATTAGAAAATAAATAGATTCGTGTTATATTTATTCTACTTGTGACTCATTGTATAGATACCTATTTATGTTGCAATCGCGAAAATAACAGATAGGTGTAAAGGGGTATTTTTGCAAGAGTAACAGGTTTCTGTTCGATTGAAGCACGAGTAACTAATCAATGAATTTTAATCAGGAAAGTAGTCCGTCATAACCTCACCCTAGGTCATCACCATGGAGTAGCCAATCACGGGATTAGAAATCGATCTCACACATATGTGTGATACCAGTTTTCTCACATGGGTTTCTCACCTACAGATTGTGTAAGAAAAGAGGATATTATATGAGTGCCCATGACATACTGTTTACGACACGAGTGCCTAAATGTTGATATTTCCCGAGCGAGGCGAGGGATATACCGATATTTAGGCACGAGGTGTCGTAAACATAGTATGATATGGGCACGAATATAATATTCTATTGATTACCGATGTCGTCAAATTGAGGAAAATAAACCCCAAATCTACTTTCAAACATAGACTGGCTACCCGCCGTCGTCGCATGTAGAACGCAACGTCACAGAAGAAACGTGACGTCATAGCCTTGTTCATGACGTCACGTCACCATGACAAAGTGATATTTTGACCTAGGGCATCGTATGAAAGAAATATGAAACCCCGATATGCTTCGCCCTCGTAGGTAATAAATTTGGTTAACCCCTTTGACATGTTCCAGGAGGAAAGTATTTCAGCAAAGCAAAAGCACAGTTGGTAAGCTTGATGTGGGACATATTCCCAAAATGATGCATTATCTAAACGTTTGCCACTTTGGTGAAACCAACGAACATGGACATTTTACACGTTCCTGGCACACCTAAGGTACACAACTCCGCATACCCAAATTGGTCTGCTTCGGACGGTTCACTCAACCTTATGTAAAGCTTACCTTTGAAGAGTGTGATGAATGTGATGGCCATCTTTTGTATCGACTGGTCACCTTCTCAAAGACTTGATGGAAGAACTCTCTGTACTTTGTATCATTTGCATCGTAATTGACCAGTTGCAGCAAACAGCTGGAATATTTTTGCTCAGGAACATTTCCATATGGAACACGTGCATGGGGATCTGAACACCAATTCAAGAACACATGATTTCCTGATGCCATGCCCGCATTGTGTGCCGCGTCCAGAAACCGATCGTGATGGTGGAGATGTATGCAGCTTAGGATGACTGTAAAGATATCAACTATATAATCCTTCATTTAAAAATACATGGTGTATTTGTGTACGCAGGCTCAATTTTAACAGGGATTAAATAAGGGTGTCTGACTGGACTGATTGACCTCAACTTGAAGCTCGAAGTTACATTTCAACCATATATCGACTTCATTGGTGTTCAATGATTTTGTAAGTTATTGGAATATTCTGGTTTCATGAGACTGGTCATGTATAGTTTGGTAATGGTTGACGTTAAAGTCTGGAATTCATATTGGATTTTTCTGATTTCTTCTTACTGATTGACCATGATATGTATAATTTGGTAATGGTTTACATTTTGAGTCTAGAACCCGACCTGAAACAAAAACAGCAACACTGGATGTGTACTTGTTGTCTTTTTCAACATTTAATCAATAATGTTTATCAAATATTGCAGCTTTAATGAGTTCTTATTTCTACTGTTTGACCTTCACAATATCTCAACTGAAACTGGCACCTTCTCCAGTATTGTGTAATTGACACTTTGAAGAATGTACTTACCTGAAGCTTTTGACTTAAGAACTTTAAGTTTATCTTCAATATAATCTTCATGACAAGCTATGGAAGCCGAATAACTGATTTCTATACCGTGCTTCGGGAAGACAGCTTTCGCGGCTGTTAAAAAGGCAGTGCATGTGCTACACGTGTGTCCAATATAACCTGAAATAGACACAGTAATGTAAGTCAATACAATACTGACGAGAACCTTCCGAAGTTGGCTCAAAACACTTCGTTAATATCCTGAATGGGTCATGTGCATTTGTATTTCATTTTCACTCCCATGGGTGTATACAACTCAAGTCGCCTTAAGAGCCCTAGACGGTTGGAACTCACACTCCCATCTGATCCTGTCGGGTACCCATTCACTGCTGGGTAAACATATTTCGAACAAGACTTTTTTTCTAAAGAAGGCATCTAGTAGTAAAGCATCAATGTAAGTCAGGCTTGAAGCCCAATCCATGTACATGGCATCATTGCTATTACTGATCCATAACTGCAAACTACATGCATGGCAAAGATATTGTTTTTTGGCTGTTTATATACTGGCTACTTGTGCATGCTCGTTTTCAAAATGTATCAAAATCAATCAATCAATCCTTCAATCAATCATTCAATCGTTCAATCAATCATATAATCAATCACACCTTACCCACACATTCAACTGTATATTAACTGAGGAAAGTATGGGTTACCTATGTGTTTCCAGTCGAACTCTAAGAGAACCGTAGCCACAGATTCGAGCAAGCCTTCATACGTGCCATACAAACTGTCGAAATTCAAACGATTGTTGTCTGGCATTGAATGGTTCTTCATCGGCGTCCACGTTACCATGGAGATGTTCCAGTAGGATGCGACATAGCCAACCATCTTCATAGCTGAAAATATATTCACTGCATGGCTATTTTTCTGCTTCGAGGATATTTAAGAATCACATATTTTTTCGTAGCTACGACTTTCAACTTCACACAGGTTTAACATTAACACCTCCACATGGTGCTTAAAACAGCTTCAGAGGTAAAATAGGCCCCACCTGAGAAATATCAATCGTCAGTACTAAATAAATCCAACTATCATCAGAAAACGAAACAGATTTGATCTAAAGAGCGCAATGCTTGTGAAAATTATAAGAGTGGAAGACTGAAATTCAGTCACGACACCAGGGCCCTTATTCTCGAAACGTTCGTAGCCCTTAGAATTCTTAACTTTGATCGTAGCTAATGTGTTAAGAATGGGCTTAAGAAGTTCGTATGGTTACGAACGTTTCGAGAATAGCTAGCCAGGTTCTCGAGAAACCCATGCTTGTCGTAAGAGGCGACTAATGGGATTGGAGGGTCAGTTCAAAATACCACGACTGCTCATCAAATCCGTGATGTTTTTGTCTCGTCCAGACTTTATTATTGAAAGGTCTGGTAAGGCCTTACTTCTTACACAATTGTTTTGCTTTATTTACGGATCCGCGGAAGAAAACATCTAAATTCAGTGGAGTATAATCAGAATGACGACGGTAAAATTGTTTAAAAGACTAAAACAAATGAATCAGCAACATTCAACAACACACATCAATATTTGCCACAGAAATGTTCAAGAAAAAACCCTTGCTACAGGTACCTTAATAGTGAAAAGAAAGTGGTTAAAGAAGGTGTACGCATGCGCATGTGACAGAATCAACCTGTCAGTGTACATTCTGAGGCAATCTTACACACCTTACGTGTTAACATGTTTTGTCCTCAAAAAGCAGCGTCGTATTATCGCTGTTTGGGAAAACCAGCAACCAGCAATATTCAATTGTGATAAGTCAACAACACCATGTTTGGTCACAATGTCACATATTTGCGCGATTGTCAGATTACCGGTTAGTTTTCGCCTAGTTTTGGGTGGAGTCTACTAATGCCTACAGGGAATAACGCCTACAGTCTTAGATAAACAATTTTACGCACCAGTGGTTACAAATTGTACTGCCTCTACCCTTTCACTAAAGTGGTAGGCCCCACTTCATTGTGCACTCACTCCTACTGGGAATACAAAACACAGATTTTTAAAAGACATTTTATAAGATTTAATCATATCATTATTTTCATTTCTTCACACATGATATTGAATTATTAATTGAGATGACATTACATTACATTCTAAATCATATATTACATCATTAATCAACATGAATTATTTACATATGTACAAATATACAAATATACATTTCTGATGACAATTGAAGTCATTCAAGCTGTTTGAGTCATTTACGCCAGCTTAATCAAATGTCCAGCAGCTGAGGGTAACTCCATGGGGGTCGTGATTCCAGTTGTCAGTTGGTCCTTCCGTCTTGTTAGTCTCTGGTCGATCTCTGTGTAGATCCTCCTCGAGATGATTGTTCATCCTCGGGCCTCGGGTCTCGTGGTGGTTCCATAATCCGGCCCGGAACTTGGCATGGTCATCCACCCAGGTGCTGGTGACGTAGTCGTGGAAGGCATGGTCAAAGTTCCTGAAACAGTTTCTTTCCTTCTCCTCCATAATATTTTCTTTCTCTCTTTCTTTAATTAATTTGGGTTTAAAATCATTAATGTATGTGTATGTGTGTGTGTGGGGCGCAGTTCGGGGCGAAGAGCGTTTAATACCATTTCGCATTTAGAGCTGGATATAAACATAACAGTGACTATTATTATGTAAAGCACATGTAAAACTCATTTCTGGTTGACAGTGGGTATCATCATTAGAAATCAGTATTATATCCTCAAGGATTTTCTCTATAATGTACTCATGTAACCCTTAGTCAATGCAAACGTTGAGGAATGTGTGCGAATGAAAGACACCGGTTTTTCGCGAAAACAGGATAGGCGCGTCCTACCTCTTGTCACACTTTGCCTAAAAGATAAACAGTTGCAGTCCATCGTTGCATAGCAGTATTCAACAAATCAGCAGTCTGTGAACAAATCAGTAATCACGTGATCTATGAATACTAGAACAAGACATCATCTAGAGTACATGACGAGTATCAATGAAGATTTGCTTGAGTGGCATTTTAGAAGCTAGTGGTATAGAGTTTATATCACAGGTTTCGAATAGAAGTGGTACTGAAATGATGAAGCACCGTTTAAAAAGTGTGACAGCGATTCATTTATATAATGCTCAACGCTATTTTGCCTTTTACGTATTATGGTAATATGTCATACAAACCCTAAAACAAATATATCCAAGACAGTTCATGCAAGTCTATAATTACGTTTCTGAAATGAAGAAAGTCTCTTGTCTCCTTATATTCGATTTTTAATTGATAACGAATTATCGTGTTTTTTTCTGTAAAATATATTCATTTCAGAGAGGAGATTTTAGTCTAGCACAATGTAATTAGTTTCGGTGGATCGTCGAGTATAGTAATGTCTTATTGTCGTCACGTATTTCTATACAGAATAGCCAGTCAAGGTGGCTCAGAGGTTAAGGAGTGTACAGTAGAGGTATGGCGTCGCATTAACTTAATACTATAACTGAAGATGTTGGAATTTGTTGGTGATTTTCAGTTGTGCGTGTCTCAAGTAGTTTTCAGGGGGTTTTGTGTTTGGGATATTTTCTTTTGGTCTTGTATTTCTTTTGTTGCGTGTGTTGATTTGTTTAAAGTGGCATTCCAGAAGTTAGTGGTATAGAGATGACAAAACTTTATGGATAATCAACTTCTTTATTGTCACAATAGCGACGTTTCGGTATAGATTCTTATACCGTTTTGAGGCATATGTGGGAATGCAATCTCCTACCCAGAGTTCCATGCGGCAAGCCAGCATAGTACCTCTGCCACAGGCCAGAAAAATGTGACGATTCGTCACATCTTGCACCGTCCATTCAATATAATGTACATATTTCTTAACTCTTTTATTTTTGACGAGTCTACACAACTAACTAAACATCTTTAATAGAATGGCTTAGTTTCACTAAGAAAAATATCCTAAAACATGTAACACTATTTCGATTTGCGTAGCGATCCTTTGTTTACATAGGTTGTACGGCTCCACGTGCTGTCATCGAAGCCGACGGAGAGCAAACGATGCAGCCAGTTTGATATCTAAATATGTACTGTCATAGACCTAACTGTCGCAGTTGTGGAAGAATATATACGTAACAATGTAAAACATTATGAACAGAGCGCCGAAAAGCTTTCGTGAGTCCAGTCCCTTCTTATTATGAATATGCGCGTTTGATTACAAACAAGAGAAAAGTCCGGTCACGTGATATGCAAATTAGCCTGTGGCAGTGATGTTATGTTAAGTCATCGCTGTGCCCGAGTGTGGGGGGAATGATGGGGTACACCAGTTTATATACAAGATAATCATGAGACAACAATATCAAAGGTGGATAACAAAACATCAAAGAAAGTTACATGATGAGCTGCGATAGGATGATGATGAGCCAAAATAACATACATGAGATGAGTGGGATTACCATGACAATCAATGGAGACACTATTTTCAAGGATATATAATCAATCTTTTTGTCACTCACAAATACCGTGAATATGAGTCAAGATACAAACTTCCTCACATCAAAATGTTAGGTTTAATATCAGGTATTTATTTATCAAGTTTTAGTAGCAGCGCAGTTTCTTAGAATGATTACGTCTATTTAGTGTCTGAAAATCTGACACTACTTGTAAGTGACACGTCAAGTGTTTAACACAGCCGTTATGTTTGATAGCGTTATCAGGGGTGCGACAAGGTATTGCCTTAGACCCCGTCTGTTGATAGGTTATCTGGAGGTAATCCCCCTTGTAGAGTAGGCTATTTCGCACACTAAATGACATTCAAATCTCAAGACAGATAAAATTTATCTTGATTTGGGGATTGTTCGAATGGGCACTTTAAGAACGTTTCAAATCTCCAAGGCGGAATAATGAAATTTACTTTGGCAACGGATTATATGAATAAAGGCGTTTACACTATGCCTGTTCTATCATTTCGGATGAATGTTATAATAATGACCACCTTTGGCATAGCAGTGTGTAATACTGATCTTAGAGGAAACGATCGGCTATTTGAATAACACACAACACGCGTGCTAATACTAGAATAGATCTAGAAAAAGTATTCAGTGATAAACTACGGACATTAAGGATCACCCATTCATTTCATTTAGCTAAAGTTCATCTGTCATGCCAACTTTAAGTAGTGAGTTTAGTTTTACGCTTTTAGCAATATTCCAGCTATATCACGGCGGGGGACACCAGAAATGGGCCTCACACATTGTACCCACGTGGGGAATGGAACCGGGACCTTCGGCGTGATGAGCCAACACTTTAACCACTAGGCTACCCCACCGCCTGCCAACTTTAGTAAAAAGAAGGAATCGTGTGGTCCTTCACTTCCTTTGAGTTGCATATGACATAACTGTGTATCCAAACGGTTGATATCCACTATCCGATGCAATTCACCTATTTGGACTGATGTTCCACTCATTGTTAAGTTGAAAATTTCACTTGCCTTCGCATGTATTTGTGATGGACACCACTTGCGGGACGGGATACTTTTACACCTTTATGCGAACACATTGTATCATCACTATTTGATACTATTTCATTTTTAGTTCCATAAATGGCTTCTCCTGATGATGATATGAAGGTTGATGCACATGAAGGTTACTGCTTTAAAGGAACACCATTGTACATTTGAACATTGTATGAAGCTTTGTGTGAAAATGAAATTATGTCTGTTATATATTTTGAACGAAACAAACTGGATTATTTATATAAATGTTGATTTTTCTGATTCCTTTCGTTAAATACCAATTCTTTGATCATTTTGAAGTTGTCTTTCATTCGAATTAATTAACTTTTAGAGTGATACACAACATAAAATGTAACATTAGGAGCAGAAAACACAGTGCCTGAACGACTTGA